TTTGTGTGTCGTAACCACATAAGTTATGAAAACTCATCATTAACGTGCTCCAAACTATAGCTGAGTTTGCGTTGAAAATGAACTGATCAGAACACTAAAAATGTTGAGTTTTTGAATAATAATAGGCCTATTTCTGTAGTTGAGTTTTATCGGGGCGATAGTTTGAATCAACGTCTTTTCCACCCGTCCAATTAATCAAGTACTGCTGACGTGTGTGCTGTGTGTGCATCACGCGATAGTCGTTCAAGTGGAACTCGTAATTCCCGGAATGTTTCCACAACACGGTCAAATCTTGATTACTGCCATTTTATTCCTTTGCATAAATTATACTGTTTCTAACGCGCGAACTGAGTAAACGAACTGGAAACTATCCAGCTTGAAATTACATCTAATTTCCACGAAAAACGCTCGCTGATTGCAACGACGAATGAATATCGCGAAGGGTCTCATTACATCTTTGATGTGATCATCAAAGTTCACACCATTATCTCGAAAATTGGCGAAATATTTCGGCTTTTCATCTGGGTTGCCGCTCTGGGGCTCAGTGAAATGTAAGTGAAGCCATATCGATTTGAGTCAACTTTCTTATGGGCGGGTTTGAATTTCCAAGACTTTGTTGCAGCTCCAAATATAAACATATCTGGACAATCGTGGCTGCTCAGATTTAAATCAAATTTGCGCTCATATTGTGCTGGCATTTGTTTAGAAGTTTAAAGTTGTTACTTATGGTGGTAGTTTGCGAGTGATGCCTTCTCCTTTAGGAGCTGTAGCGAATTGCGAAGGTTTTGGTGCAGTCCCAAATATAAACAATTGGGGACACTTAATGAATGCTCACATTTTAATCATATTTGTGTCTAAAGTGAATCTGTATTGTCTTGACATTGTGTAGAATTTTCAAGTCGCTCTATTCGCTAATTTTGCAGTTATCATTTTTTTTTATAAGCGGGAGTGAGTTATGAAGGTTTTGTTGCAGCCGCAGGTATAAACAATTCTGGACAATCAGTGGATTCTCAGATTTTATTGAAATTTGTGCTGTGTACGGCTTTATCTTGTGTTCATACTGTACAGAAATTTTAAATCGCTGCTTTTGCTAGTTAAGGAGTTGTGAATTTTTGCTTATGAGCGGGTGTGGATTTTTATGATTTCGTTGCCAACGATTATGCAAAATCGCCTAAAACCCAGATGGGAGTGAAATTTAGCATTTGCGTGGCTGAATATAGTGTGTATTTTTTGCAGAAAGTTCAACTTGCTTATGGATTTTTCCTTATGAGCGGGCGAGAACTGTAAATCTTTTCGTTACAGCCTCAATTATGAAAAATTGGCTAGTGCGCAAAGTCGAGTCAGATTTAGCAAATATGTGCCTAAACTGAGTGTTTACACTGTATACAAATCAAATTCATTCCTGGGTTTCAGTCATTTATTGTCTCTATTTATCAATCAAAATACGTTTCGGTGTATTTTTCCTCCATCATCAGTTTTATATGTAGCGTTGTTGCTGCTTTAAGCCTTGGCATGCATTTTTGATAGACAATAAATGACTGAAACGCAGGAATAAATTTGATTTGAAATTGAAACCGCCAGGAAAGTATATACACTGTATACAAAGTGAATATCGCTGCTAGAGTTAGTTTGGGAGATATTTTTATCTTAAGTAGCGGGCGAGAACTGCAATATTTTTTCTTATGGCCTCAATTATTAACCACTGCAAAAAATCAATTTATGCTTAAATTCGAGGCAAATTTTGTATGTAAGTGGCTAAATATAGTGATGATACGGTGTAAAAACCTGAACTTGGTGCGAGGTGAAATTATGAAATTTCTTATGATCGCATAAGACTTTTTTAACTTTTTTAATAAGCTTCAAACACAAACTACTGTGAAAAATCAGTCAATGCAGCAACTCGAGTCAAATTCAGTCTATAAATGGCTGAATATAGTATTTACATTTTGTAGGCATTTGAATTGTTCACGCGAGCTAATTTGGGGGTTTGGAACTTTTTTAAATTGCAAATTTTCGCATTTCCTTCAATGCCAAACGATAACCGGACCGCACAAAATCCCCACATCATGAAAAGAAGCAGTCAGCCATCATTGGCTCATTAAAATAACGAAAATCGGCAACAAATATGCCGATTTAAAAAAAATTAAGGGCGAGTAATTGGAGTTGACTGTGAGGCGGATGACGCCCGACAAACGGGCGACTCAATGGGGTATAAAAGCCATGAGGCGAACAGTTTTTTTGGCATGAAATCACTTATTTTAATGGGTCGAACAGTCGGTTTGTTCAACTGTAAGCAGCTTGTCTGGTTAATGGATAAATTGCGGGGGGAATTTAGCGCATTTTGGGGGGCGCTAATTTTATCTCATGGGGTGGAGACGCTTTTGTGTTTGGCTTAAACTGTTAAACCAAGCAGAGAAAAAAGGCCTGGCTGCAGATCTGGATCTGCTCTATTTAGCGCTCTTAATAATAAATAACGCATCAGCTACGGGCGAAAATTCGTAATTGTTCCTCCCAACTAAATCTCCTTTGAAACGGAATTTAAATTTAGAAACCTTTTACATTTTCTTTTTAAAGGAGAGTCGTCTTTGTTCGCGCCGCGCGCTTTATATTCCATGGATTCATATTTAACGATAAGTTTTTGTTTGATTTAGAAATAAAGCCGCTCTTAGTGGCCGCCATTTGCGTCATTCAGCTGGCGGGCGTTTTTTCTCTGCCGCCCCTAATGATAAATGAGGGTTATTAAATCGCGAATATTCTGTTGAATCATCCGGCCGAAAACGCTAATGAAGTCGATACAGTTGCATGAAGAACCATCACAATTCGCATGTCGCTCCTCTTGCACAATCCAGCCATCGCCTCCACTCACTAAGCTAATTCATAAATTGAAGTTTTATCAGCGCCGTCGGAGCTGTCGATATAAGGCGCTGATCAAACAAACCCTTGCCAGGCTATTTGAGTAGCTTGAATAAACAGTTCGTATTTTTCTTGCAGGCTCACTTTTTGGTTTTGATTTGTCAGAATCGGGGGCTTTTTAAGGTCGCCTGTTTGCTTTGGAACATAACGTTGGTTTTCCGTCTTCCGTTTTGGCCTGTTCGCGCTGAGCACACATCATTCGAACCCCGGTAAGTTCGGCAAATGTTTCCATGGAATGCCTGCGGGACGTTTGGGGCGCAAAACCCCTCAAATCGCCGTAAATATGAGGTGTTTTAATAATTGACACAGACTTCCACATCGCCTCCCCAATGCGAGATGGCAGTTTCCAAAGAAGTTTCCCCCAAACTCGACAAAAGTGAGCGGAATACGGCGAATTTGCGATCGATCTTCGAGTTTTAAACATCTCCAGAAATAGCGTTTAATCGACTGTGAAATACATTTATAATATTTCGGGGGATCGTCGAAATCACCGGGGTGGAAACAGGCAAGCAATGGAAATAACGCCAGAAAGTCGGCATTGAAAAAGGAGTTTTTATTCGAATGAATCAAAAAGTGCCATTTTGCAAACAGAAGCGATGATCAAAAAGAAGCACTTTTCTTTAGCGTTCATTTGTTTTA